GGGGTTCCTCTATCAGCACGCTTTGAAGTCAGTGCGGCTGACAGCAGGGCACCCGGATGAGAACATTCCATGTACCTCTGTCTGCTGCAGTCATCAAAGCTTTTGGGAGGATTTTATTTCATTTTATTTTCACCCCTCCCTTGCTACTACTGTCATGTCGAGACAAAGAGGAAAGAGTAAATACTCAAAAGTATTCTAGTCTTGTCTTGTCTGTTATTTCACTGTATATATATATATATATATATATATATATATATATAAACATTGAAATATTGTTTGTGCTGACATTTATATTTCAGAACACTAATACAGAGAACTAATACAATTATTATATTTTTATTATATTTTAAATGTTTTTGAAAAAATTCCACAGTACAGTACATAATAACTGCTACCACCACTATTTCACTGTAGGTGTGGGCACTGTAATATTTCAGGGTGATCTTACATAAATCTAACATACATTTTTTGTCAATTTGGACCACGTTATGGCACAATTATTTATTTTTATTATCAGCAATTTTAACAATTTAACAACAACCTGTGTTTGACATAACAACAAACTGAATTATTTTTTTGCAGAAATTACTTCAGTCTTCAGTGTCACATGATGCTTCAGAAATCATTCCAATATGCTGATTTGGTGCTCAAGAAACATGTCTTATTATTTACTACTTTCTTATAAAAGAAAGTTCAAACGAAACCCATTTCAAATATAAATATTACAAAAATGTATTATTAATATCTTTACTGTTACTTTTGTATTAATACAAGTATTAATTTCTTAAAATAAACAAATACATAAATAAATAAATAAATAAATAAATAAATAAATAAATAAATACATAAATAAATTAATAAATTAATAAATAAATAAATAAATTAATTCATTAATTAATTAATTAATTAAAAAAAATAAACTCTTACTGACCCCAAACGTTTGAGGAGTAGTGTATTTACTGATTTGTTGTGTGTGAGTCCAATCATTCCTTATAAATCATAATTATTTTTACACTTCATTGCTTTCAGGCTTTCTGGCAAACTCCAGATGTGCTGTCACAAAGTACTTCTTTTGTGTCATCCCCCCGTTCAGTACAGTATTATACAAAGCTCTTGATATAGTTGACTGGTGCACATTTACTCCATTCTCTACTCTTTAGCTTCTTCAAAGCTATTCACATAGAGTTTTGAGACAGTATGGCCCCTTTTCCATTCATCCTCTCTAATCCAATAGTTTCCTGTCTTTTTCACTACTATTTCTATCTGATAAAAGGTTAGAAGGATCTAAATGCAATACAGGTTTCAGTACTCACAGAGAGCTACATTTCTATATAGCAGCTGAAACTATGTAAAACGAGAAAATTGGTTAGGGTGTGCAAATGACACTGCAGCTTTCAGTAGGGTTTTACAAGCAGAAGTTTCCCTATGATGTAAAATTCAGAACAAGTTGCAGTCTGGCACCTTGCTTGCTTTGGAAAAGTACAGTTCTGCTCGAGATTATTGAATTTTGGTGACAGTTCATAGAGTTTTATGTCTTAAAGGGGTCATCGGATGCCCATTTGATATGAGTTGATATGATTCTTTAGGGTCTTAATGAAAAGTCTATAACATACTCTGGTTAACATTTGTCAATGGTAGTGTAAAAAACACCCCTTTACCCTGTCAAAATGAGCTCTGTTTTTAGCACGTCGTTCTAGTCCATGTTGCTTTAAATGCTAATGAGCTCTGCTGACCCCGCCCCTCTTCTGTGGGTGATGAGCAGTACCGTTTACTTTAGCCGCAAAACTTGCCAACTAGCACATATTAGGAAAGGCGATTTGCAAAGATTCCTAAAAAACCTTATACTCACTTCTTGTGTAGATCAAGCTCGATCATGAATGATTCGCGCGAACATAGACACATTTAGGCAGATCGGGGATCGGCACATTCCCTTCAAAACGAAGTGTCGGGAGTAAATGACGACTGCTATGTTCATTATTACATCCAACAACAAAACACCTCAATCGCTTAATCGGAGACATTCTTTTCTTTCCCTGCACCGGAGTCGACACAATGGCGGACTGATGACAGCTCACTCAGGGCAGGTCTAAGGTAAGACAGCCTTGTCAATCAACTATCGTGGGAGGGGCCTGTGCAGAACTACTTCATTCTGACAGGAATCTCAGAACAGCCTGATTTGAGAAATGAGCTCTGCTCACCCCGCCCCTCTCTTCCGTGGGGTGATGAGCAGACTGTAAACTTCAGCCGCGAAACTGGCTAACTAGCACATATTAGGAAAGGCGATTTGCAAAGATTCCTAAAAAACCTTATACTCACTTCTTGTGTAGATCAAGCTCGATCATGAATGATTCGCGCGAACATAGACACATTTAGGCAGATCGGGGATCGGCACATTCCCTTCAAAACGAAAGTAACGTTAATCTTGAGTAAATGACGACTGCTATGTTCATTATTACATCCAACAACAAAACACCTCAATCGCTTAATCGGAGACATTCTTTTCTTTCCCTGCACCGGAGTCGACACAATGGCGGACTGATGACAGCTCACTCAGGGCAGGTCTAAGGTAAGACAGCCTTGTCAATCAACTATCGTGGGAGGGGCCTGTGCAGAACTACTTCATTCTGACAGGAATCTCAGAACAGCCTGATTTGAGAAAGGGGATTTTAAAATAGGGATTAAAAAAAAAAACACTGGGTGGATTTTTATCATTCTGGGTGGATGTTTACACTCACTTCCAACACACACAACAACAAACAACAACAACAAAAGTGAATTTTGCATCCGATAACCCCTTAAAATGTAAAAAAAAAAAAGGGGGTAAATAAAGTAGTACATCTGAAGAGCTAGAAAGAAAGAAAAGAAAGAAAGAGAGATAAAGAGAGAGAGAGAGTATC